ACACCAGCCATTCAGTCTTAATGTTGCCAATTGTGAGCCACCTAGTGCCAGTCTGCTAGTCGGGTGGTGCCTAAATTGAATAAATAAAAAACTAACGTATGTAGTAGGTTAGGCTAAAGGGATCCTTAAGGAGGGATTTGAATTTGGAATACAAGAAGCTGCTGATGCCATGTTACCATCCAATCCGATACAGCCCACATTAGTCCTCTCCAACTGGTACTCCACAGGAGTTGGACAGATTCTAGAATGCCTAGCCAGCATTGCCAACTCATCTTGGCACCTGGGAAAGGCTTGTCTCCAATGACCAGCAGTGGCTCTCCAAATTTTGGGAAGGAGTCTACCCTAGAGATATCTAGGACCTTCTGCCTGCATGGCACATGTTCTAACATCCACCCACAGCCCTCATCCATATCCAATTCTGACATTTCAGTTGTGCAAACTAGCTTTGTGATTGTGAAGGCTAGGACTTGATGTTTTCTTAATGTTCCGAATATTGCTTTTGTCCTTGTTCTCCAGATGTATCATGGATTATCTGTCTAAGCCTGGGGTTTTTGGCATCATTGCTGGTGTCACCTGCGGAGTATGCTTGGGCTGGAGCATTCGAGCTCGGTTGTTCCGGCCATCCAAACCCAGACTGGCCATGATTGCCAACGAACTAGGCAACGAAGCCAGTATAATGGGCGAATACGGAGAATTCAAGATGGTGATCATAGTCAGGAATGACTTGAAGATGGGGAAAGGCAAAGTAGCCGCCCAGTGTGCTCATGCAGCAGTTTCAGCCTATAAACAAGTCCATCACCGAAATCCAGAACTTCTGAAGCAGTGGGAATATTGCGGGCAGCCAAAGGTGGTTCTCAAGGTGCCTGACGAGGAGGCCCTCATTCAGCTCTTAAGCGAGGCCAAAGTGCTAGGCTTGACAGTGAGCTTAATCCAGGATGCTGGTCGTACTCAAATAGCTCCAGGCTCCCGGACTGTCTTGGGCATCGGACCTGGACCAGCTGAGATTGTGGATAAAGTTTCTGGCCATCTAAAACTGTACTGAATATGATGTACCCAATGTAAAGATGGTGAAATCAGGTAAATGAATATAAAACATGAACAAGAGAACAAGCCATCCTCCTCCCAGTTCCTTCCTCAAAGAATTATCAAATGCAATCCCAGATTATTTTCGTTTATTTTCAGTAACACACACATACACAGATGTCCCACATATCTTTGCAGGCTCCACTTTCCTGTAACCAGTTAAACAGCCTTGCGTTTGCACAGCTACAGAAGCAGTTTACACTCCTCTTCTCTGACTTCGTGGATTTCTTTGAAACGCACGAATCAAGCCTTTGAAACCTGGAGGAGGGAATGTTCAGTAAGATATGGAAAGCATTGCTATGAAAGTTTCCAAATAAATGAATTACGTGGACAGGAAGATCATGGTTTGCATCCTTTTAATATTAATATTTAGGCATCTTCTGTGCAAACCTTTAAAGATGGTCTGAAAAGCAGCCGCCTCCAGCAAAGCTGTTGATTTAATTAATTGTAAGGCATTCTGTGATTCTATTTGTTTAACACACAACCCGCTTACTAAATTAATCTACTTTTTGGGTTTGAATAATACATTAAATCATGAAGTGAGTATATGGGCTGTGTTTGTATAAAGTACTAAGCCATCAAACTCAGTTTAAAACTGATGAAATTTCACACATTGAAAAAATGAGTAACTTTGTGACTGACCTGGTTAAGTGTGCTATGCCGACACAGCTTGCGTAATCACAAAGTGTTTGCAGCTGCATTTGGTGTTCAAATTGCTGCTTTTTAACCAAACTAAATCAATTTAACTTGTGATGAGTCCCAGGAATAGGCCCCTAAAACCACATCTCCTAAACATCAGGTGCTATTTTTCCTCTTGATTTTAAGATTATCAAAGGCATATTCAACAGCCAAACAAGTTTTTGTATCATGGAGTCCTTGGTGCTCTCTGAGCTTGGTGGTTTGCTTGCAGGTGTTTCATTACCCAACTAGGTAACATCATCAGTGTGAGTGAGTGTGGGGTTTTCTCCCTGTTTATGTACAGTAGCTTGCCTTGCCAGTGTTGGGGTGGGGTGTGGTTTTCTCCTTGGTAGTACCTTGATTAGGGTATTGTTCTCTGCTTGATCATTTGTCTGGTGTTAATTCCTACTTATCTGGGTGTTGATTGCTGGAGAGAATGTGTTTCGGTCTTTTTTGATTCCTTCTTAGCTTTTTGTTGTCCCTTTTGAAAGGTGTGTAAATGTGGTTTATCTCTATGCATCTATTGATGGCTGATCAACAGGGAACAAACCCCACGCTCACTAGCACTGATGTTACCTAGCCGGGTAATGAAACAATCATGCTCAGAGAGCCCCAAGGACTCCACAGTTCAACCCTGAGCTACAGAGATTCTCCTCTATTGAAAGTCTTTGTATTTTCTTCATAAGTTCTCAATACCAGTGTAGCAGGTGGCATTGCCAAGCAATCCTGTGGTGCTTTACCTGACAGTTTCCTTGCCTCCAATTGGATTTACTTCCCATTAGAAGTACAATCTTATGGGTATCTGTTCAGAAATGAGCCCCGAATCAAGAAGATTTGCAGGCAAATAGGACTACAGCTTAACATTGCCTTCAGCTATCTCTGAACATGGAGCTAAGATTTTCCCTCCCCTCCATCTGTTATGGGCTACATTGGGGCATCCTTGTTCTCTTTCTCCTAGTCACATTGCTCTCCATATTTTGGCAGTGAGAAAGGATTAGTATTGCATTCTTGGATGGTATCTATACCTGCCAGGGTGTAGATTGGAGTGTGTTAAACCATTTCTGATGGGATCTCTGCAGTGAGACTCAGAAATTCAAAAAGGGCTTTGGAGGCACTGTCATCACAAGGGGCATGAGATGCAGACTTCCGCAGAGTCAAACTGTGAGTCCCCCTAGCTCAGGGCTGCCTATATGGTGAGTGGCAGGCCTCCAAGGGCTCAGGCAGGGTCTTCAGCTTTCCCTGGAGATACCAGGAGTTGTGTTCCATGCGCTTCCAGGATCGGCTTATGGTCATGCGGATCTTGTAAGCCCCTCTTGCTTTCTACCTGGATTTTCCAGATAGGGGTGGCTGGGGCAGACAAGACACACAGCCCTGGTCAGCAGCTGGGAAATAATTAGGGACACACATACACATCACTTCCAACCAAACCCTGAGGTGCATCAGGTTCTTTGGAATACACGGAGACCCAATTAAAGTAGCAGCAAAACTTTACTGGTTACAATGTACATTTGCTCTTTCTCTTTCACCCCCCCCCCACGTCCTCAACTAAACTGCCAGGCACTAGCTAGAGAGATGGAAGAATCAAAGAGTGGGCAGGCTTCAGGACCCCTTTTATCCCCCATAGTCCTTGCTTTGTTGATTTGCCAGTCTGGCAGCTATCGATGGGATGGGGTGGGGGGGTTCTGTGCACTCAGGCCCAGCCTCCTTTGCTTTGTATGACTTTGATTCCTTAACAACTTGTTTCCTTCTTTACCTCCCCAAAGAGATCTTTCAGACAAGATTGTTCTTTCTGCTACGTGCCTACTTCCTCTTTGGGCTATGGCCCCTTCAGTCTAGTCTCCCACTTGAAGCTGGGTTCTTGCATGCATCCAGCAGGATACCTGTTATGAATGTGAAAAATGGATGTCTGTTTGCTTCCTCTAGTCATAGCATTCCCATGAAACTAATAGAAGGCGATGCTTCTTTCAAAAACAGCCTTGCAAAACCTGGCTAACTGCCAAATTTATTTCTCCCCCTGCAAGTGATAGAAGAGACCTTTCCATTCACTTGCATTGGGGGAGAAAAAGGAGGAAATCAGCTGAGGACTATCCACCAAGGGTGCTGTTAGAGTGACAGAGGCATTTTTACCCAGTGACTGGAATGGGGATGCAAAACTTCTTTTGCTGAACTCCACTCACTCACTCTGTGTGCACCTGTTTTTCTATTTAAAAAAAAAAAAGCCAGTGCCCACAACTTTGCAAATGGCTAATTCCCCACAACAGGCCTCCCATTTGGAACTAGCTGCACTACCTGAAAAATGGTTGCACTCACATATCTCAAGAATGCCAAACGTCCCCACAAGCCACAGAAGTTTGGGAGACCCTGAGATAGTGGCCTCGTCAGTCCATGAAATGTTTATTGTAGGAAAGCACGCTGCAGTCTGGCCACTGTTGAATGACTGTTGGTGGGTGAGTGTGAATTCTGCAAAAAGGAAGTGGCGCGGTTTGCTTCAGGTCGCTCCAGGAAAGAGGAGTGAGAGCTGCCAACCTCAACTTTCAAAGTGTCTTGAGAACGTAGCTTGTCAGGAGCTCATGGGGGAATAAGAGTAGACCAGATTCAAAACACAAAAGCTGTTGCTCCATTAGCAACTGCCTCAGCTTGAAATATTTATGCCAGAAAGCAACTGATGCAATACCCTGCAACCAAAGTGGTACGATGCAGTTGTACGTTGGAAGTCAGTGACCACTTCATGCTTTTCTGAAAAGGTGTATGGAAATGTAACACACTGCCCTCTGCTGCTTATTTCCCACCTAATAAATTATCGCAGAATGATTGTCTTTAGTCTCCAGGGATGAGGCATCTTTATCCTGAAGGCTCCTAAAGGTGTGCCCTTCCAGATGTTGTTGGGGTGACAATTCTTCCTTGCTGAACCCAGCCCTGTAAATTATGGTTCTGTACCATCGCCAACTGTCAGATTCAAGGGGGAGGTGGGAAAGCCTCATGTTGAAAGATAAAAGCTATTTTACTGCAAATCTGTAACTCCACTGAATTCCAATAATCCATTGTCAGTAGTCAGAAAGCCACAAGCTAGCAATGAAATCAACAGCCGCTCTTTGCAATGACTTCGGTAAGTGCTATTCATTGACTGGATTTGCATACTGCATGTAACAGTACTTAACTGATTTACTGAATAAACCACAATTAGCTGTATGTCAGCCCTTTGAGGTAGGCCAGGTCAGGAAAGAGACATTGCAAGGACTACTGGAACTCTATTGTAGGGTACAAAAATATAATCTCAAAAGCCTATCAAAGTTTCTCTCTGTCCCATGTTACACCAAACAGAATCAAGATGAGGTTATCTTGAGTTTCTTTCTCACCCCTTCTTCCTTCTCAAGGTTAAGTTTTTGCATTCCTTCTTCAAAATTTTCTTCGTATTCCTCTACACTACATTCATACAGTATGCCAGTAGCTGGGTTCTCATTAAACTACAATTAAACAAAATACATTATTGCTTGATATGTGCCATATGACTCCCCCTTCCAGTATCATACTGTTAAAGCAGCGCTGCTGGCTTATTGCGAGCAAGCCACATCCTCCTGCACACAATTCATGCACTTTTAATTTGGAGAGTAGAGAGAACCAAACAGAAGGGAACTACATACATACTGAAGATCATTGCTGTCTGGAAACCAAGGATTGTAAGCCAAAACTAGGCCCTAGACTGATTTGCATCCCACCTTTTAGAAGCAGAACCAGAATCTGCATCTGCATCTGTTTGCATGAAGTAAGGAGTGAACAGGCTGCGCGTCCAGCAAGCCTGGCTTGTTTATGTACCATTTGTTAATATAAAAATGAATGGGAAATTAGCAAGTTGCACAGCCAAGCCCTAGGCTCAAGAATGTATTTCCTGTGAGGCTGCTGGGCCCCATATCAATCCCAGCCACTTTCTTTCACAATGAAATGGGGGGGGGGGAGGCTGCAGCATTTGGTTCTCCTTCAGATTCAGCCACATCTATTGGCAACCTTTTATGAAAGTGTCCATGACGTGCTCTCAAAATGCCCAGGGCACCTCCTGTTCCGGGATATTTGGGAACCCTGGAAGACCATTCTCTCTTCAGATTTGGTGGTAGCCGATAGCTATTGGAAGAAGGGAGGAGGAGGAGGAGGAGAAGTTAAACTTGTATGCCACTTGACTCTTCTCCAGAGTTAAGTCATGTTCATGGGACCCCCGAATCATAAACTAAGCATGCAGGCTAGGAGTCATGTATCATCCTAGGCTAAAATGAGGTTGCCCAGTTCATGGCTCAATGTGCTTGAGCAATCAGAAAATAAGAATTTTTTATTTTAAAAATAAGTATCTGATCCAGAGATGTTCTGTTTGGTTAGAGCTTCAGGATAGCAGCAAAGAGACGGATTCCTTTCTTCCCACACAGAGCAACTGTTTCATTCGTTACTGGCCTAAAGCAGCATTTCCTGATTGCAGCTTCTTGAAGTTCAACCTGTCTGGAGGACACCGTTTGAGGGATGACAATTTAACTCTGCCTGGACCCCTCTAACTTGTTAGCTTTCTGAATAGCTCCAAAAGCTCTTAAAATAGGGGTGTGGAAAAATGCCTGCTCCAAGCATTTTAGGGTGTTCCAAGCTCAAAATGCTTCAAAATGCCCAGAACGGGCCATTTCTCACTATGGCAGGAATTCCGCACTCAGCATAGGATGTTTCACGAAGTTTTACATACTGTTTAAGGTTCAACGTGGTCCTTGCAAAGCCTGTTTGAAAACTAGGTTAGCAATCAATAAAATCCCAGGTTAGTATTGTAAATAGTTGTCTCTGGGAAGATCTTCTTTGATCAGTGGATAACCAACATTTATCACTGTTATCTTCTGCTTGCTTCTGCCCTCTTCTAGCTGAGCTGCCATATATGACGATTTACAACCATACCTTAACAGTGGGTCTTCTGAACATCACAAAAAGAGTCAACAATCTTCATTGCTGAAAGTAAAGACAGAAGAGGCTAATAGAGGGCCTCGTGCATCATGGCAGGGGAATGATTTTCATGAAGGATTCCCCTGATTTGCAGGTCAATTGTAGCCAATACACTACACCCAGAATGTTAAGACTTGCTCTGTTAGGGTTGTTTAAACTCTAAAAAGAAAGGGATGCTTTGTAAAAAGGGTTTTTGTGATGGAAGCACCTTTGTCTTCTGGAAGGCTGGTGTGCTGTGTAAGACTGTCCCAGTTGTCTGTCTGTCTATGTATGTATGTATGTATGTGTGTGTGTGTATTTGTTGTTGTTTAGTCGTTAAGTCGTGTCCGACTCTTCGTGACCCCATGAACCATAT